AAATGGCCTAGAAAACACCACAGAACCGTTTCTAATCATTTCTAGGCGATTTAGCAAAGTGGCCTAGGAAACTTAACTTGCGAAAGTTAGGCCATCATGTTTAAATGGCCAAGAAAACACCCCATGACCATCTCTAGGCGAAAAAAGGCAATTTTAAATGATGGCCTAACTATTTGCCAAGTTGAGTTTTCTAGGCCACCAACACATACATTGGCCTAGAAATGGTCATACATTGACCATTTCTAGGACCATGGTGGCCTAGAAATCTTATTTTTGAAAAAGTTGAGGCCACCATGTTGGAATGGCCTAGAAATCCCAAAAAGTTCGGCCACTATTTGGAAATGACCTAGAAACCTTCTTTTTGGGCAGCGTGGCCTAGAAATCCCCAAAACTCGGCCAGATTTCAAAAATAGCCCGCCTAGAAACTGTGATTTTAGCTCATTTTCACTAGATTTTCCTCAACTTTTCAATCCCGATGGCCTAGAAATCCCCCCAAAAGTCAGGCCATCTGACATAAGAAACCCTCAAAAATCCCCGGATTTTTTGTGTGTTTTGATGTGTTATATCTCTGTTTGTACAGCAAAAAGAAAGGTGATATTTTCTCTATCTCTTTTTTCTGATTCCAACGCTCCATGGATTGCCCGTGGGCGCCTCCTGAAGCGCTGTGTTCTCTTGATGCTTCTTCCAGGAATCTCATCGAGATCCATCGGATCTTCATTGGAGTCCCCCCCCCCCCCGGAGCACACAGAGAACAATCAATTTCTACACTTGCGCATTTTTTCTTTTTGCAAACTGATCAAAGTTTAAAATCGCTCTACAATTATCCAAAAATTGCTCAGACAGCTTTAAAGTCGCTTGAAATAGCTCGAAAATACAGCGAAATTCTGATTTCTATCGTTTGTTTGCTTTAAGACTGAAATCGCTTAATTTTGCGATTTTTTAGCTCGAAAATTGCCGAAAAATGCTCTTTTTCAGCCTAGAAATGATTCAAAAACGGACTCTCAGCCTAGTTCCCTTTAAGATCAATATTCTCGGACGAACTAAACGGGATACTGTAGAATTTGAAGAGCACTACAAGATGATACTATTTGGGATACGGTAACTTGTCTTGGAAACCTTTACAGCTTATTTTTG